AAGGAGTGAAATGGACTGGTTTTGGTCCTGTCCATTCTGGAAAGAGGCCTCTGAAATTCCCCAAAAAGCATTCCTTTAAAGGTAGTCCTTGTTTAACAATGTTAACTGGGACTGGAGACTCTGTTGTTAAGCAATGTGGTCATAAGTCAAAAAACCATGTGACCACACCGCTTATTGACAGCAGTTCCAGCAGTTGGTTGTCATTAAGTGAGGACCTCACACGACCATGACTTCGAACTTCCTGCCGGCTTCTCCACTGACTTTGTTCATGGGAAGCTGTCAGGGAAGGTCACAAATTGTGATCATGCAAGGACACCGCAATGGCCGTAAGTATGAGGTCCAGTCATAACTACTATTCATTCAGCACCGTTAATAAACGAGGATCACTTTCTCTGTCTATTTATCTCTCGTAATCTTCCATCTTATCCACAATAAGCTCCCTTTTTTAAAAAGCTAAGATGCTTGAAAATTCCTAGACAGCTTGTCATTTTTATTCCATTAAGATATTTTGGAATGTTTCTCATGGAGGAGTACATGTGGATAATGTTTGTGCTAGAATGGAAAACCTGCATAGATTTTGCAGGATGGATTTGCAAACAGGAGTTGTAGGTTTCTGGCTCAGGAATCTTTTCTGTCAAATTCTTCCTGAGGTCAAATAGAGGTTGTATTTTGAGCAAGCCTATGGTTCTCTTTCTTCCCTTTCTCAGGATGAGAGCTCAGATGCTGAATGATATGGAACAGCTTCAGGATGTTTGGAAGGATGAATCGACTTATCCCAAGATACAGTAAGTTCATCTCTTACTTTTAACTTCTGTACTGTACACACAAAGAATGCATTTCACCAGGCTTTCTTGACTGTTACGTCTTGCAGTTATGCAATTGTAATTGTATGCACAATAAGTGAGGGTGCCTCAAATATACTATACAGTATCTAATAGATATTTCATAACCAGAGATTTCCCTTGTTAGCTATCATCACTGGGACTATTTCTCTGGCAAACTGTGAGTTGGTTTCTTGGCCTGACACATTCGTTCTTGAAGCAAATGTTCTTCTAAATCAACCACTTTGATCAGTGCTCTTGATCTTAACTGGATGCCAAACTGCAGGCAGGAAGTTGTATGAGTAGGACTGAAAGACTGTAATCCAGGAGGGCAGAAAAAATTGTGATCTTTCTTCTTAACCCTTTGATCAGAATGCCGTTGCCAGTTTCCTCTATTTATTTTTATTTATTGGAGATTTGAATTCTTGTGAGAGGTTATGTGCCTAAACATAAGCACAGTGGCAAAAGAATGCAGAACAATTAAATAGTAGGACATTTCAAAAGTGCTGTTTTTAATCTGCTGTCTTTTTTCTATGTACTCTGTTCTGAGCTGTTGGGAGTAGAGCAGCATAGAAATGTTAGGAAATAAAATAAAATAAAATTTTAAATGTCTTAAATGCAGAATATGGGGTTAGTCCAGCTATCAGTAAATGCCGATAGACCTTCATTACATATGAGCAAAAGCTAGATTTTTTGAAAAATACATAAGACAGGAAAGGCTCACTTCTATCTAAACTGCATTTTGAATAGAGAGAAGAGAAACAGGAAGTTCTCGTCTTTTAAAGCACAGACTCATTTTGCTATCAACAAGCCAGTTGAGAAGCAGAAATAGGGACAGTGTGTGAAAACTCTTCCTTTAGCTCTCTCTTGCTGTTTATTCTAGTGGCCAACTAGGCTCATAGATATAAAGAGTTGACACAATCTTATTTATCTATTTACTTACTTACTTACTCACTCACTCACAGTCTACCAGATAGTTCTGGTTTGGTATTTTTGACTACTGGATCCTTCTCAAGGACATGGGGAACTTCATTGTAATATATGTGCCGTTCTAAAAAATGCAACTTTTGGTACCTGATGAACTGAGATTCTATCTATCCCTGTGGTGTCCAACTGCTTTAGGTAATCCTCCTCCATCTCTTCCTCCTTTCTATTTTGACCAATAGGACAATCAAGGTTACCAGGCACATTATCCTGATTTTGATTTTATCCTGGTCCTGTTGGCATGTCAAAATGAGGAGAGATGCAGACATGCAAAAATACAACCTGCCTCTATAACTTTTAAGAGTAGGGCAGACTTCCCCAACATAGTACACAAGTCCCAGAACTGTAAGTCAGTAGAGCTGACTTGTTTTAAAGTCTGCTTGTTTTCTCTTTGCATTTCTGAGTCGGTTGCTTCTCAAGTTTCTCATTGTTCCATTTTTATTGCAATTTTATCATGAGTTAGAACAGTGTTTCTCAACCTTGGCAACCTGAAGATGGGTGGACTTCCTCTTGCTGGCTGGGGAATTCTGGGAGTTGAAGTCCACACATCTTCAAGCTGCCAAGGTTGAGAAACACTGAGTTAGGATTTATGACGATGTTTTTAATTATTCTGCCACAAGCTCTTGCAATTTTATCATGAGTTAGAACAGTGTTTCTCAACCTTGGCAACCTGAAGATGGGTGGACTTCCTCTTGCTGGCTGGGGAATTCTGGGAGTTGAAGTCCACACATCTTCAAGCTGCCAAGGTTGAGAAACACTGAGTTAGGATTTATGACGATGTTTTTAATTATTCTGCCACAAGCTCCTTTGAATGGCTCTTCCAACGGCTCTTCATCTTGTCTGGGAAAGCAAATGGTCTCTAAATCTACACAAATAAATAGCTCTTTCTGAAAATTATACACTGCCATGGAAGGCTTAGACATTATCCATACTGGGAAAAAGTTATTCTCCAAAAGTAGTAAGCAAATATGAGATACAGTTTAGGTCCAACACCACCTAGAGATGAAACTGTATAGTGACATTTCACATACTGTATTGTGTGGAAGACATTGCTTAACACTTGAAAAGTTTTATTAGAAACAGATGTGTCGTACTCAATTTAATCAAATCAATTTAGTAGCGTTGTCAAATGCCATATATCTACTAAACTCTGTCCATACCATGGGCATATAAGTGCAAGCTATCTGTAGTTATCTTATTTTTATCTCATATTCATTAAAGTACTATGCTTGGTTTCTTGTTCATGTAACAAATGGTTTGATTTAATTGGATAGTAGTAAATCATATAATTAGGAATGAGAAAGGGTTCTGGGGCCTCTTTCCTTGATCTGTGAGATAAGCCTGTCTCCTAGGAAACTAGCAGACACCTCAAGGATGTTGAACAGCCTGGATATCCTCACCCCATACTGTATATTCTTTGAACAACTATACACAAGCTAGCAAATCTCAAGGAAACATCCACGCTACGTTCTCCCATGTGCACAAAACCTGAAGTCAATACAGAACAGAAAGAGTGAGCCTCAGAAGCACGGTGGGGGAAGTGAAGATGATAACGGCTAGCCAGCTTCCCATTTTTTATATATCATTATTACACATGTAAATCATTTTTAAAAATAATTCATAAGGGGCTGGGAGTAGGATGGGTACCAAGGGAAATGATGCAGTCCGGTGTTGCTACTGTATTATATTGGAGGCTGCTGGTGTAAAGTAACCTCGCTTCAGTCTCCAAAGCAAAGGGCCCCAAACTTTCTGTTTTGCTCGGCAGCTGCAAAAACCAACCAACTCACCAACTAAGCTCACCTGACAGGATAAACTCTCAAGCCCAACTCCTGTGATCATGATAATCTGCTATGCCCCCCTCCGCCCCGCAAACTCCACTATAATATGGCTTGAGATGTTTGGTGTAGTGGTTAAGACAGCCAGCCTAGAAACCAGGGGACCATGAGTATTAGTCCCTCCTGATGCACAAAACCAGCTGGGTGACTTTGAGCCAGTCCCTCTCTCTCAGCCCTAGGAAGCAGACAAGGGCAAACCTCTTCTGAAACCTTGCCAAGAAAACTGTCTGCAGTCCAGACAGTCTCTAAGAGTCAAGACTGACTTGAAGGCACCTAATAATAATAGAAACCACAACAACAACAATAATCTGGAGCACCACTTGAAGACCATCGGCATTGCCAGTTGCTATTCCAAGAGATGCTTCATCTGAACCTGGAAAATCCATCTACCTTTTCTTTCTAACTGATCTCAGAGAACACTCTCAGCTTTTTCCCTTACTGAATATGGAGCATCCAGATTCAGTGGTATTTCAGAGCATGGACTATTCTATCTTGTCTGTTTCCTCTCAGTCACCATGAAGGAAAGTCTCATGGACGTTTGTAGACTAGAGTTGGACCCTGTGTGCGCCAGCTGTTGTATTGTCACTTTTACTTCCTTTGTTCCTTGCTCAGAGCCAGAATGGATCACATCATAATTCAGCCTGTTTAAGTCCCTGATATCCTTAGCAGAGAACAAATTGGTTTCTCATAATCCCAACCATCTTCTCCAAAGGTTGCCACTTTTCTGTATGGGTGCTGCCAACATCTGTAGACAATGCAAAACTTATGTGTTTTCTGGCATAGCTTTCTATCCCAAGATTTATACCCTTCCTTCCAGTAAAATGAAAGCTGCTTATTTTAAAATGCCATATTCTTTCATTTCACCACATTTAATTCACTGGATATCCTCATTTCAGATTCCATTGCCAGATTGTTACAGTGTCTTCTCAAGCCCATACAATCAACATGAGTCTTTGATTGCTGCTCAAATGACTAAGCCCAGAAGTGAAACCCAGAGGAAATTGTGGAAAAACTGTTTTTTTCCTTCAAATACCACTTAGGTATTTTTGATAGAGGATAAAATGGGTATTTTGCATGCTGGACATCCCAGGTCCAAATTATGGTATCTCTGAGGAGATAGCCTCTCAGCATAATCCTAAAATACTGCACAAAGATGGCTCCATACGACACCCCTCTGTCCCCATGTATTTTTTGAAATGATTGATTACTGCTAATGCCTGCATCTATATCAGCATTATTTATACAAGTTCTATCAGGTGGAGAACGTTTTTGGACCATACTAAGTATTTTGTAAATGATCTCCCAAAATGGCTTGCACGGTGAAGACAGCACCCAATTACTAGAAGCCAAACTCACTGACCTGGCTAGTGAAGACGAACAGACTTTGAAGAACGTCTTGGACTTTAAAAAGGCTCACTTGTCTTTTCTAAGAATGCCCATGGAGCCTACAAAGACATATTTGGAAAGAAAGAGATAATTGGAGGCTGGTATTTTACAGAATTCCCTTCGATTATTATATTATAAATAAAAAGTATTTTTAAAAAAATTAAAGTCAGGTGAGGCAGGGAGCCTGGTGGACACCAAAGTAGATATTTACAGGCACATTGGTATCCACATATTCCATATTTCTTAATCCTACTATTTTCCCTACTATTATTATTTGGCCAGCTTCTAGGCTGGCTAAAGTTTTCTGTAAAAGTATACATGTGCATATATGTACCCCTGAACACAAATCATCCTGTTTTTTGCAGTTTAGCAAGTTCAATTCATATACCTTTCTTCAGTCAAATTGCTCATGAGTTTGGTTCATGCATGATGAGAAAACTGAACTGGGATGATTAACTGGGTTCCTGCAATGTGTACAGTTTTGGGGCAGGGCTGATCCATGGGGCCCTGCTCATACATAGATTGACTCTGTGCTGTCAAGTGAGTGTTGACCATTAGCAACCAGGCAGATTTGCTGCAGGATGATGTGTGCCCAACCTGGTCCTTCAGGTCTTCCAACAGTGCACTTATTGTCACTGTATCTGAATCCATCCACCTTGTTGCTGATCATCCTCTTCTTCTCTTTCTTTCCACCTTCTCCAGAGAGCTAGGTCTTCACATATGTGTCCAAAGTAGGTTAACTTGAGCCTCCTTGATTGTGTCTCAAGAAAGAACTGCTGGTTTATGTGTTTGATGATCCATTTGTTTGTTTTCTTGGCTACAGTCTTTTGGATGACTCTGCAATAAATGGAGATAGTTGGCTGAAGAGCTACCAATCTTGTCCAAAGCAGGTCGGTCATCATTGTTGTACTTCACGATTTTGCATTGCGTTTTGGTTTGCTGGAGAGATGGAATTATTGCTCTTTGGCAGGGATCCAGAGAGCGCCTACTGAGGCATTCAATTATTAATAGAGAATGTAACTGAGATCTGTACCAGTCACTCTTCCCCAACGTTTCTTTGATGTCAACTGCAACTCATGTTTGGTCTGGTTCCTATATATTAGTGCCCCTTTCTTCAGTACCTGAGCAGAATGAAACATAAAAGAAACCAGAGGCAATGCAATGGAATAATATGCCTCTTCAGAATGCAGCTGAGGTCTTCTGTATAAAGAGCTCCTTTCATGGTACTAAACCTTCTGTTTCTGATTTTAGTCTTTCTGAGACTGTTCCTTTTTTGAGCGAAGCGGGGTAATACTCTTCCAACAGGGCATCTCTTGGGTCTTTTATCCTGCACTTCAATCGAAAGTGATACAATTGTACCAACTCAGAATTCTGCACACTTTCCCAGGTATCTATAATTCAGCCTTTCCTGAAGGGAAATTATAGAGTAACATGGGGAAAATGGAACTGGTTGGTGAACTTTTTCTGTTCTGTTGTTACAGCAGTGTGACATGATAGAATCCTATGTTAACAATTCTAGTTATGGGTAACTTTGGTTTCTGCTATTGTGAATTTATTAAGTTCAGTTCATCAACAATGAGCACTGGTTTTCAAAGATTTGTACACATCTGGATACACATAATTTCAAGTATAACCATTTTGCTCAATGCTACAGGTTTTGCAATCTTTCCTTCTCAAATATATTTGGGTGTTTGTTTTATTGGTAAAACTGCATTGATTTCAAAAGAGAACTAAATTTTATCTCATATCTTAATTCATGCAGGCAGAAAGGATAAGTCTACATCCAGAAGTGAAGGGAACTACATGAACTGCAGACCCTTTCCATGAAACTAGCTGTAAAAGTGTAAAGAAAACCTGAAAACAAGGAAACAGAACATGCTGGTGTGCTGTTTTTCCAGAGAAGAGCACTAGAAACAAGAGGAGGAAGCTGCAAGGAGGAAAACTTTGATACAACTTTAGGAAAAATAGCCTTTCCTGAAAATATTTATGAAGAGGCCAGTTGCTACAAAGACTGGGTATCGAAAATCGGTTTACTGAATGGGAGAGGGGATATATGTGATGAGATGACCTCTAAGCTGCTTCCCATCTCTGATGCTCTACGATTCTGGGATACAGTCACAATGTTATTATGTTTATATATATTCTAGTCGAAAAGCAGCACATAGAAGAGCAGACTGATCTAGAATCTGTTTAAAAAAAAAATAATACCGAACCTGGAAGGTGGTTAACAACTGGCATTCCCTATATGAAGTTTGAAGGGGTCAAGAATTCACTCATCTAGGATTCAACCCTATAATCTGTTGTCTATGTAGGCTAAACTACTGAACCAGGAATGGTATGTTTTGTTTTTTTAATAGATAAATACACATATAGTCCTGTTTTTCTTTATGGATAAACTGGAAGGTATCTGTATAATACATACATTAATTTTTTGGATACATTTTGTTGATATTTTGGGGAACTGTTGTGAAGACCTTGTAAAATATAGTTTCATTAAAGTTTAAACATGCCAGGAATAGAAGAACTGGGAAAGCATCCAATAACTGGTGCTTAGAGTGATGTGTGCGTGTACTGTACACACACATGCACATGCTTGTTGGCAGGAGGTCTGAGCTGGAAAATTTTAATGCATTCTGCCCCAAAGGAATTGTGGTGTCAGACAGTTATTCCAAAATAACAGAGAGAGAGAAAGAGAGAGAGAGAGAATGTACACATTTGCCCTTGCTATGCACAAAAATGTGTTTTAATAAACAATCATAGATGTGTTCCCTTCCTAGGTAGAGAGCTATACTAGTTTGGCAGAATGCAAGCTTGACCCGTGCGTGGTCCACATTTAAATCCTGACATCTCTGCTTTGCAAAGGGATGAGAAAAGCTTCAGCCTGAAATACTGCTCTGACAATGGGACTAAACAGAAAAAATAGACAGCCTCTTAAGTGCAGGCAGACCATTAGCAGAGTCCACTCCTAAAGATTTATGGGTCGAGTTTGCACAGTATTCTTAATAGGGTCAGGGTCGAATAAGGGTGTTAGGTGAACATTCCAATCCAGTCAGAAGGGAGGCCATTATAAAGCCCCCTCTGGTCACTCCTCCATGAAGCTCTTGCTTCCAGAGTTCATTTGTAGAGCTCCTGAAGCCAGAAGACACGCCTCTGTGAGTGTTAATGTTACAGCTGCTATATCTGGACTGCAAAGATCTGGATGGCCACTAGGTGTCACTGAAGCTATATGAAAAATCTCTCTTTCCTAATAACTAGGTTTCATACAGATTTTTGCAACCCTGTGATGGCAGGTCTGCTAATTTGTTGCTGTGTCTGAGGCACATGAACTGCTTCCTGCCTGGCTAACGGGAAAAGACCGAGTGAAATGACGCCAGTACTTTTCTAGCACAAGGAGGCATGAGATGCCAAGCACTTCTTGGAAGAAGTGGGTATTCCTCCAAATGGCAGCTTTAGACCCAGTTGGTATGACTGTCTGCTGCCAGAATCACTGATAAGAAGCTATGACTGATTGACTAGGTGAAGCGTGATGTGTGATCAGAATGTTGGAATTTGAAGGATTCCCGACTGGTTCTGGAGATCTTCCACTGTTGGTTGTATTATGGCACGCTCAAGATGGAAATGGCTCTTATTCCAGCCATCTTATTTAGGTGATGCAGAGCTGGGTGCTGGAGCTGTGGTCTAAGAGACACAAGTTGATATCTTGGTGCTCTCTGAGCTTGGTTGCCTGCTTGCATTTCATTACTCAACTAGGTAACATTATCAGTGCAAGTGAGTGTGGGGTTTGCTGCCTGTTTATATACATATAGCTTGCCCTGCCAGTTCTGGTGGGGGTGTGGTTTCCTCCTTGGTCATTCCTTGATTAGGATATTGTTTGCAGACCTCATGCCTAATTAATCCCATCTGCCACTGCCCAGTCAAATGTTCTTTGTAGTGGTTCTCTCCAAACACAGTCAGAGAAACTGGATCAAAAATCACCATTTTGAAAATACGGTTCCTACCCATTCTCTCTGTATGAAGACCTCTGGTATTTTGATGCCCTGTGAATTCTAGCAAATCTCCATGACAGAGAACTATAGAGGTGGAAAGAACGATAGAGGAAATCTAATCCAGTCCCATTCTCAGTACAAGATCCACCAGAGGTTTTCAAATAGATGATGGGTGGAGAGGCATCCACAGTGATGGTTGATGGCATCAAAATGGCAAACAAAATTAAGTGACTGAAGTCCATTTTGAGACTGTTGATCGTTGCTGCAGATGCCTCTGGATGGTCTGGATGGTCAATGGTCAAAGATGTTCTAGTGGATTGTGCCCTGTGCAACCAGCCTCTCCCCATTGGTTAGGCAGGAAGCAGTGGGCATGGAAGGAACAGGAAAGGAAAAAGATGTGTTCTAAGTCCTGATTCAGCCTCAAACTTACAACAGCCACTGTCCCTCATTTGGTGCTGCCACCCTTCTTTCCAGCAATATCCACCCTATTCCCCTCCACACAACATCCCCTTTCTGATCCCTACCCAGGATCACACACACACCCTGCCCCCCATTCACAGCCACAGAGAACAAAACAAGTTGAACTGAAACACATTATCCCTTCAAGTTAGGCCAGGTCAGGAAACAGATACAGGTAGATCTCACTTACTGACCACCTTTAGTGACCATTCACTTTAGTAGATTCAATGGAGAAAGCAGCAGTAAAATCAGAAGTCATAGTCATGTGATGTCTCACTTGCCAACTGCAGCACTTAGCAATAGAGTTGTCACTCCCAACTGTGATCAATAAGCAAGGACTACCTGTAGTACAAAAACAGCTGGAACTCTACTATTACTGTATAGATATAATGACAGAATCTTGAGAGCCAGACAGAGTTTCTCTCTCTCTTCCTCTTATACCAAAGAGAGTCAGGGTGGGGCAGTCTTGAGTTTATTTCTCACCCCCTCCTGCCTTTCCAGGCCAAGCTGATGTTTTCCTAATGGCTGTTGCATATCTTCTTCACAGCTATCTCTACTCCTCTACAAAAGGCTATATCAGCTGCTGTTTCTCTCCCATGCTTTCCTTGGAGGTC